TTAGTAAAGAATCTGCCTGCCAATGCAGGGCACACAGGAGATGCAAATTCAGTCCCTGGGTTGGGAAGATCCACTGGAGGAGGGCATGGCTATCTGCTCCAGTTTTCTTGCCTGGAGAATCCCAAGGAGAGAGGAGCCAGGCAGGTCCATGGAGTGGCAAAGGTTCCGACATGACTGAGCACTCATACTTACCTAGTGATTAAGAGGTTATCTTTGAATAGGCCCAGCTCAAGAAACATAAATTAGATCATATCAGAGAACCATAAATTCTACCAGTGACTTTTTCTCAAACTTTTTAGTATGTTTCTGTATGGACCTCATGGTGGATTCAAAATGTAGTAGACATGACTGTTTGCAATGTGGCATTTTGAGGACCTGCTCCTACGGCATAGTCAGGGCTGAGGTGGCCTCAGCAGAGCAAAGCTGAGTGGTCCAGAGATGCTGGCTGTGGTCGGGCAGGCATAGAACCTGGAGGACGGTCCAGAAAGGTGCCTCTAAGTAGGTGGCATGTGCCATCACTCAGAGCAGAGACCATGGGTCCCAGGAGTCCCAGGAGATTTTCTCTAAAGGAAAGTGCATTTGTGGTATTTACAAACCAAATCATCTGGGTCTGCTGGAGATTACATTTTTTTTAAGTCCAAAAAAAAAAAAAAAATAGAGGATAATGAAGCCCAGCCCAGGCCTGGCTCGCAGGCTCACATAAAAGAAGAAGTAAAACAGATTTACAGCAGCACACTGCCGTGCTTTTATGTGAGGCTGAAGCTAAGGAGGGGGCCCATCCATCTCTGAGGAAGCTGAAGTGAGCGAGATTTAAAAGGCGGCCTTTCTTTCTTCCATAATAGGTTGGACACTTCAGAGTAAAAAGAATCAAAAGGTGTTAAGCATGATATTTATAACAGCAACATTGCACACCTATTTTGGTAATAGGCTTTAAGTACTTAAGACACAGAATCATCTTATATTTCATGTGCTAGGCTGTGTCTCTTCCTTTGTTAATTTGTCACACAAGAGTTGATGTCAACACAGCCTGCCAGTAAATGGTTGTTAAACCTGAGAGTTGATGTCCAGGGCCTTCATTAACTTAGTATTCAAAAGGCCTTAAATTCCAGGATGATTCAGAAGGCATATAACTAACTGGATCGTTTCATGGGAGAGAAGGGCTGATCTAAAAAATGGGAAAACTCTGGGTCATAATTACAAAGTTTACATAGCCATCCAGAAGTTTAGTCTATTCATCATTGTTACTGAACCCAGGCCTGCTTCTTGCCTCTCTAAAGCCAATCTTTATTGGCCAGGTTGGTGGAAAGGGAAGTTTGCTTTATTTTGGATGCTGGCAATCCTGGGGGAGGGGAGGGTGGAAGCCTCCAAAGGCCAATTCCCCCCACTCACGATCAGTTGGCAAGAGATTTTATAGATGGAGGGAGAGGGCTACATGCAGAAACAGCACAGTCAGCTCTGACAGTCATCTTGAAGTGGGTCATCTGTGGTCTGACCAGCATCATCTTGGTTGTTTAGGGTCAGTTTGCTTCCATTTCTTGAGGCCAGCTCTCCAAACTGTGGGAGCGTATGTCGTGGCTAAGGTCTGGTCATCGTGTAGTTTACTTCTCCACCTGGAAGGGGTTTCAGGATCTATAAGAAGACAACTCACAGGATATGGCTCAGAATACTATCTATAGCCCTTGAGAAAGAACTAAAGGTCCTTGACTTGGCGTAATGACTACATTATTATTATTTTGTCTCCTTTGACTGTTTTCCTTTGTTTCTGCATTTTCTTATTTCTCTGAATAAACTTACTCTTTGGCCAAAATTTTTCCCTGGACAAAAGGCAGGCTGAGGACGTGTGTGTGTGCGTGTGTGTGTTGGGGGGGGGAGGGCGGGGCAGGGGGGTGTCAAGGACCATAGGGTCCTGCTCCGTTTCATCTTGAAATAAATTGGATATGAAAGTGTCCCCCCTCTATGTTTTTTGTTACCCACGTAGACAGAATTGGAAACCTCTGCAGCGGTTTTTACAGGAAGGTTATCGCTTTGTAGGTGTAGTTCGAAATTTTTTCAGAGCAGTCACAAGGTCTGGTCATCACTGTCACCAACGACTTTGGACACCTGGGTTTTCTTTCAGGTGCCTAAGAGAGGAGGGGCAAGGCTGTTGAGTCCAGAAAGGGAAACTGAGAAGTGTTTCCTGGTGTGACCCGGTGGGAGATGAGGCTCCAATATTGCACTCACATCCTGAAAGAAGCTGAGGATCTTCCCCATTCATTGCTGCAAAGCTAAAGGCAGGTTTTGCTGGATGAGGTGAGAATGAGTTTCAGAGTCAGGTAAGGACACCCGAGCTTTGTAGGGAAAGTTGAAGCGAGAACAATGCCTTTGTCCACGTTGAGTGCAGAACAATTAGGTGAGGCAGCAGAGGAGACAGGCAAAGATGTGCGAAGAGAAGAAAAGTTGATTAATTTCCCCACTTCTGGTGTGAAAAGTTCATCAACTGAAAAGCCAAGAGTGCATGAATAACTAGGGAATAATGCATTTCACTGTCATATAATGCCTACCTCAATTCATTCCTCCCCTACCTACTCCTCCCTCCTGTCTTAGGTTTATCGTATTAACATACAGTTTTGTGTATCTCTTTGGATCCCTAAGTTTTCTTTTTACAACCTCCCAGCAAGGGTCAGGGCCAAGTTCCCACTGTTAGAAAGAGAATGAAAATATAACACAGCTGAATAAAACCAGATCTACCCAATATTCTATAATAACCTAAATGGGAAATGAATTTGAAAAAGAATAGATATGTGTATATATATCTTTGTGCTATACACCTGAAATTAACACATTGTAAATCATTTATACTCCAATATAAAAGAAAAATTAAAGAAAAATAAAAAAATAAAACCAGACCTGCCTGAGTCTGTGCTGTCCAACAGGCCAGGCAGAATCATCTAAGACAGTGGTCCCCAAGCTTTTTGGTGTCATCGAATGGTTTTGTGGAAACAATTTTTCCACGGACCAGGGTGGGGGTGATGGTTTCGGAGTGATGGTTTGGGGATGATTCAATCACATTACATTTACTGTGCACTTTATTTCTATTATTACTTTATCAACTCCACCTCAGGTCATCAGGCATTTGGTCCTTGAGGTTGGGGACCCCTGATCTAAGAGCACCAGACAATCTTAAGGGTTTTAGTGATTTCTTCACACACAGAGAGGGAATATGACTTAATACTTCTTTTCCTTCTCCTGTAAGAATCTTCAGCATACCATGCTTTTGGTTTACAATGAGAGCCCACAAATGTATATTAATAAATCTATGTATGCTTAAAATTTTGCATAAGTTTAATGCCATCTTCCTTCCTTGTCAGTCATGGATCCAATAATAGTAGCAGTGAGCATAAGAACGATGTGTGCATTTATATATGTAACAGTTATATTCTCTTTTTCTGGAAGATTTCTGAGTAGACAAGATAGCTATTAGCCTACCAATTTATCTGTAGTTCTCCATGGTGAACTAAGGCCAGATATTCATAACCTTAACTTCAGTATACATTTGGTAATTTGGCAAAGCAAATATTGGGTTTTGCTTGGTTGGGACAGTTCTGGATATTTTGTTCTAGTCTTGTCCAGCTTGGGAGAAGGACATGGCAGCCCACTCCAGTATTCTTGCCTGGTTAATTTCATAGACAGAGGAGCCTGGTGGGCTACAGTAGTCCATGGGGTCACAGAAGAGTTGGCTATGACTTAGTGACTAAACAATGCCCTGTTTCTGTCCTGAATTTCTCTCCGAGTCACCCTCAGGGCTCACTCATCGGTTGATGACTCGTCTCTCTTTGGTTCTGTGCCCAGTAATTGCTCTCTTGCTTGGCCTGTTCATCCCCCCCCCCCACCAGGCCCCCAGAAGGCTCCATGCACACCTTCTGCTGTGTGAATAGCAAGGGGAATTTCATTAGAGTGACAGAATTTAATTATCCATTTTTAGAATTGGGCGAGGATATGGGGCTAACAACTCAACAGTCGCCACAAGTGTCCGGGGACCATCTTCTCCGATGATGAGCCTGTGTGGTGTGTTCAAAGGCTGGGTTTTCCTGCTCCTTCTTCAAACCCACACAGGCTGCTGCATCCCCACCACCACACTCCCTTCAAACCCTGCTGAGCACTGAGCCTGAGTCCACGGCAGAGAATCCCGATCCTTAGATCTCACCAGAGCTTTTATTTTGATCATGTTTCCATTTATCTTGTTTTTCTTTTTCTTTTTTTTTTTTGTCGTGTGCGCTTTTATCCTCAGTCCTATATATGACCGGGTCAGTTTATGCCTTCTTCAATTGCTGAGCTCAATTTTTCTTTGAGTTATTATTATTATTTTTTTTTTTACAGCTGGATTAGCTACAGTGAGGGAGGAAAGAGAATCATTTCAGCTCTGCCCCCGTTTGAACTTGCTCTGTGCCCCCGCACCTCCCACTGAAGCGGTGGGCTGATGTGCTGCTGTGTTTGACATTGGGAGAAGCTGCCTGCCTCGATGGAGGGCTGCTAGTGGCCCCGCCCAGTGGGGCTGCCCTAGAAAGGCCTTTCCTCCCGGCTCCCTGGATGATATTCCTTGGCTCACAGAGATGGAATAGCACATAACATGTAGGCACAAGGGCGTTTAAATGTGCCACACTTGTTACGATGCTCTTGGTTCTTGCATTTCTCCCTGACAGTCTGTTTGAGTTTTCTTTGTGCAACTTCTGTGATGTTGTGGGACAAAGGGAAAAGAAAGGGCCTTGAAGTTTGCCAGAGTCCCTTTTAAAAATATCTTTCTTTGCTTCTGACAATTGGGATAACTCTTGACTTCAGAGCTCAAAGCCCTAGACTCTCTCCTGAACCTCAGGTTTGTCTGCTGTGTTTCCTAATAGAAGTTTCTGTGTAAGGGTCTACAGGCCTCTCAAATTGGACAGTTTCTGGCATCTTCATTCTCCCCACCAATCCTGCTCCTTCCTGGGTCATTATCCTAGTAGAGGATACCACTGTTGATTCAGTTGCCCAGGCAACTACATCTAATTACATAAATGAGGATGTCTCCTTGCTTCCATGTTGTTCTTTATTGCATTGCCCCAAATATAAAATCTAACAGCAAGTCTTATCAACTCTATCTCAGAATTATGTTCCCAAATCCATCTCCTCTTCACCCCCCTGCCACTTTTGTCCCATAAAATTTTATTGGGCCTTCTGCAAGAGCCCCTCATCCCTCTCCTGCTCTCTCATCTACCTATCAATCATTTATTGACCTAATTCGAAAATAGGCAATAAAAAAACATTTTCTAGTGGTTTAATAAAGCATAAAGGGGCATAAAGTGCAATGCACCTCACAATACTCTTCCACAGCTATTCTCTCTCCTTTAGAAAATACCAAATAAATAACCAGAAAATAAGTAACTGCTTGGGTCAAACCATATGCAATTGCCAGTGTCTGATCACTTTTGACCTCTCGAAATGCAATGGAATATGATTTCATCTATGCGTTTCTTGGTCTTCCCTGGTGGCTCAGAGTCTGCCTGCAATGCAGGAGACCACCTGCAATGCAGGAGACCTAGGTTTGATTCCTTGGGTCAGGAAGATCCCCTGGAGGAGAAAATAGCAACCCACTCCAGTATTTTTGCCTGGAGAATTCCATGGACAGAGGAGCCTGGTGGGCTGCAGTCCATGGTATTGCAAAGAGTTGGACACAATTGAGTGACTAACACTTTTCATGCGTTTCTTACAGTTCCTCTTAGCTATTTTGCAATGTATAGACAAGCAAACACAACAAAATGTAATTTGTGCCCCATTCCTTCATTTCACATAAAGAGCAGTATCTTTTACAATCTGGTTTGTACCAACTCTTTTTTCATTTAATAATTATCTTGGGGGTATTTGGTTAACAGTAAGTGGAGTGACTTTACTTTTTTTCTAAACAACCACTGAGCAGTTCCATTATATGGATAGACCCTTATCAATTTTTTTTCTCTGCTATTGATGGACATTTAGACTTTTTTTTTCAATTTTTTTGCCATTCGCAGTGCTGCAGTGAATAACCTTGTATGTACATTGCTTTATAAATGTAAATTTTTAGCCGAGTTATTTTCTGTCATTCTTCACTTTCTCCAATCCATTCTCTAACAACCAAGGTGATGTTTCTATAACATAATTCAAATTATAATATCCTTATGCTAAAGACCTTCCAGTGACTTCCCATCACATTCAAAATGAAAACCTCGATTTCATGACAGGCCGACCTGGTCCCAAGTGACTTAGCTTCTGATGATCTCCATCCTCCATCCGGTGAATACACTCCCACCCCATCCCCCGACCCCTGGGCACTCCAGCCTTCTCAGTGTTCCTCAAACACACCACATTCACTCTGCATCTCCACACCAATTTCCTAGAATCCTATCTCCTGGATTTTCCCACCACTGTCTTCCTGCCGCTTAGGTTGTAGTTTAAATGGCTGGTGTTCAACATCCAGCTCTCTGGAAAAAAAAAGAAGCCATGGTTTGTGCGTTGGAAGCATAGAGTTTGTAGATTTGTGGCATTGATTACACGATAGCTATTCTGTTTGGCCTACTTAAAGCTGCCAATGTAATGACAAACAGCTCACACAACTGTGGAAATATCTTCTTCTGAATTGGTAACTAGCTGCAGCATAACAGGGTTTTACATGTTTCTTTTCCAGAACACCAAATTTAGATAGAGTATGCTCCAATCATCATTAAATCGGTTTCTTTTATGTTTCACTTCAATCCTACCACTGTCTATTTCATCTTTTCTTGTTTCTTTACTCATTTGACTATGGAGTGATTCCTGACCCTCCTCTCACCCAACACACAGATGTAAAGAAATGTGGCCATTTCTTTGATGGCTTCACTGGAGGACCTCGGTACTCTGCTTCCACATTGCTGTCCAGTTTCACTCTGGACTACCTTCCAGATGTAGCTGCTACCCCATGGGCCAGGTCTGCCGGGCACTGCCACCCATGAAGAGCTATCCGGCTTCCGTGCCTCTGCGTGTAATATTCACCCAGTCCGATTCCTACTCCCAGTTGAACATTTCCTTCTCTTCCTTTTCCTATTACAGCCTTTCACAGTCCAGTTCAAATCCTATTTCCTTCTTGAAGGTTTCTCCTTGCACTTCAACCCACGCCGATATTTCCCATCTCTGAATTTGTATCTACAGTAGAGAAAATATCAACCCTTGACCTAAAAAAGAGGGTGCACCTTTCCTTTGGTTAGTTTGATTTCACTGAAGCATAGTTGATTTACAGTACTGTGTTAGTTTCAGGTGTACGGTAAACTGCTTCGGTCATTCATGCATATATATATATATATATATAATTTTCTCTATTCTTTTCCATTATAGTTTATTACAAGACATTGAATACAGTTCCCTGTGGAGGTGCATCTTTAACATGGGCTGTTTAATCTGGTGACATTAATGGATTAATATTAATTTTCTTAGGGATTATATGGAATGTCTTTATTTTTAGAAGATACATGCTTGAAGTGTTTAAGAAGGAGATGTCATGATGTCTACAATTTTACTTACAAATTATTCTTGATATGGTGGAGAGAGGAAAAGTGGGGATGAAGACAGAGAAAATGGGGAAAAATGTTAATATCGGTGCATCAAGATGAGGAGGATGTAGGTGTTCATTATTGTATCATTCTTTCATTATTTCCATAGGTTTGGAAACTTCAGTATGGGATGTTGAAAGGTAAAGATGCATGGGGAATATCTATTAGGCTTTATGACTCACAGTTGTCTGGACTCCACCCCACAAAGATCTGTAGATTCTGATTCAGTAGTCCTAGGTGTTTAGATCCAGGTGTAGGTAATTTTATAAAATGCTGCAGATGATTCTGACATGCAGTGTCTTAGCTGGGCTCCTGAGAATCCTGCTGTAAGGCCAGCTCTTCCCTCAGGAGGACTCTCAGAAGGAGGGTTTTGAGGAAATCAGGAGAGAGTGATAGATAGTCAATGCTGAGAAGGATGTGGTCCAGCAAGAGACTGACCTCAGGTTGACCCTGGGAAAGCTCTGGAGCACACATCACCCTGCAGCCCAGTCCCACTTTGGGGCAAGGGTTTGATTTTTTGCATCCCCAATTACTTTCTCACTGCTGAGGTCTGGTCTGGAAGCAGGGTTGATGGTGGGAGGGAGCCTTTCAGATGAAGATCTGTCCTGGATACTTCTCTGTAGGAAACACAGGGCTGGGGGACACAGCAGTAGGATGCAGTGAAGGGCACCTGGGTGGGACCTGAGTGTTGAGAAGCATCATTTCGGTCAAGTCCTCATGGATTCAAAATGTATGGCTCCTTGTTTGCTATGTCCTGTCTCCCCAGCCCAACAGCAGGGACCATGCCTTCAGCCATGAACTTTTACAGAGGTTAGCATAGTGTCAGGCACATTACACAATCTGTAACTTCATGCTAGCTTAATGACTTGGCCTAGCTCTACACACTAACAGCTTCTCTCCAAGCCATCAGAGAAATTCTCTTAGGAGACAGGACTGTGTAAGTGGCACAGTGAGGAGGAGGCTGTGAGATGAATCATAGATTCATAAGAGATACAGTTTTTTACTTGCATGAGAACCCCATCTTTGGCTATCAGCTTCTTCTCCTTGGTTGCTCTTTGCAAAGTACCCTGTTCAGAACAATTCATGTCATCTCAGCTGGGGTCTCCTCAGAAGCAAATCCCAAGACATGGATTCAAGGGCAAGTAGATTATTTTGGAGGTGACTCCAGGACACACTAGTAGAAAAGTGGGGACTGAGGCAGGAAAGGAGAGGCACGTTACCACCACAGGTGCCTGGGAAATGCTGGACCCAGCATGGAATGTGAACCTCAATGTTTTCACACCCAAGAGCCTAGGGAGCCAGAATGTTCAGGGGTCAATCATGCCAACTGTTGCTGGAGGGCTCCTCCTGTGGGGTTGGGGGGCTCTGATGCTCAGGACCTTCTCCCCAGCACTTGATGGGGGCATAGCGGTGTCCTGCCATGAATGAGGGCCCAGAGGCAAAGTGATGCACAGACAGAACACTGGCAAGGATCACACCTGCAACTCCCAGCCCACCTTGGTGTACCTGCCCGGCATCTCATCATAGGAGGCAATGCTCTCCTTCTCTTGTAGACTAGGAAACGGAGATCAGGAAGGTGGCAGCTTCCTGATCTTGCCTAATTCAAAGTTGGCAAAGCAGAATTTGAACACTGATCCCTGTTCTGGCAGTCTGGGCTCTTACTTCTAACTGAGATGACTTCTTGACACACAGCAACAACATAGCTGCCACTAGTGAGTTTGTTGATGGTGCTGTCGAAGATTACTGCTGCAAAATGGATGGATGGATGGTCTAGGACCCTTGGCAGCTCTCTTGAGATCAGAACTCAATGGTGAATAAAAACCCACTGAGCGTCAGTTATTTAAAAGGAGGCAGCACATACCCTACTAAGTAGCGAAGGTCAGCCTGTCTGGAGAACCACTCACCCAGCAGCCAGCGGCTCCGAGTAATTTTTCTGTAACCTCCTAAGCCTCTTGGAACACGTGTGATTTCTGCTTCAGTCACAACTCTAGTCTGCTCGGGGTTCCAAGGGCTGCTGCCCACCTTCATGTGAGTCCAGGGTCGCCCCTTCACGTTCTTCTGCATCTCTACCAGCTCTGTCAGCCCCCAATTGTTCTCTTCCAGAGGTGTCAGCTCAGCTGTGCTGATGGAAGACTCTGAAATCCATAGCACAGGGAAGAGGACTCTTGGGGAGGGACTGAGGCTGGAAGAGCAGAGCAGAGCTCCAAGCTGACTCACGAGGCTGGCAGGCTCAGGATGGACACGCTTTCCCCATGCCTGGGGTTTCTGTGTTCAGAATGCTCATGAGTTCTGATGTGCCCTGATGACATTTTGTAGGTTGCTCAGGGGCTCAGTGCCTGGCCACCACATTGACCAGTCCTGGGGCACCTGGGGCAGGAGTGTATCCCCCTTACCTTGGCCCTATAACCTGTTTGCTGAGGCAACGGGGTGTTCAGTGCTTCAGTGGGCCTGCAGCTGGGGTATGTAGATCTGAGTCCTGGAAGAGAAGTGGTTAGTGGCTCCACTGCAATAAAATAGGGGCCAAGATGGAACTTCTGCAGACTGAGTACTTCAGAGAAGGCTGGAGGTTAATCCTAGAAATCCTAGCAGGGTGGACAGAAACGGGAAGTTAGATTGTTGTTCAGTCGCTCAGTTACGTCTGACTCTTCCTGGCCCCATGGACTGCAGCACACCGTGCTTCCCTGTCCTTCACCATCTCCTGGAGTTTGCTCAGACTCATGTCCATTGAGTCAGTGATGCCATCCAATCTAATCTAAGTTGGATTAGATGATCACTAAATTTCCTTCTCAAATCTACGGTCCTATAATTCTATATCAAAGAGAGGGTTTTTAAAATCTCTATCTGTAAAATAAATTTGAGAAATACCTTGTACATATTTATCTTTAAATTATATATGTATTATTGTACTAACATGTAGTTTGCATTATAAAACTCATGGGTGCATGTATTTTCAAAGGATGACATTAAAACGTAAATAGACATAAAAACAAATAGACATTAAAACATAAATAGACAAGCTGATTTCTTCTTGGTCCCTGTTGGATATACCTAACACCTCTCTAAAGTTGTAAGCCTTCCTGTTTGGGTACTTCTGCTATAGACACAATACTTCTTTTCACTATTTTACCTATTAGCATTTTGTAGGACCAAAAGGATTTAGACAAAACAAAGCTTCCAAGTGGGCCGTATGCAGAGCCATTTAGAGCCAGGAGCTCTGGAGTGAATTTAAATCAGGTTTAAATCCTGGCTCCACTAATATTTGCCATGTGACCTCACACTGGTTACTTACCATAGTGAACCTCAACTTTTTCACTTGTAACACAGACCTGATATGATAATCATACCAACTTGCAAGATTATTAAGATGAATGGAGATAAAGCCTGGAAAATACTTAGTATTATGCCCAGCACAGAATCACAGTACAAGAGGGAGTTCCCTGGAGTTTCAGTGGTTAGGACTCCACGCTTTCACTGCCATGGCTGGGGTTCAATCCCTGGTTGGGGAACTCAGATCCCACCAATTGTGCAGCCCAGTAAAAAAAAAAAAAATTTAAAAGAGAGTTACAAGAAATAACAACTACAATTTTAAAACGAGATTTTAAACTTAGTCTTTGCTTCCCCTGTCCACCATCACCTTCTCCAACACACATCGTGAATCATTGCTCTTAGAAAGGCTCAAGAATCTGAGTGTGCGTGGAAGCTCACCGCTGTGAAGCTGGTGGTCCCTGATCTCATTCACCTGCTGTTCCCTCCTGAAGCCCTCAGTTCAGTTCAGTCGCTCAGTCACGTCCAACTCTTTGTGCCCCGTCGACTGCAGCACACCAGGCCTCCCTGTCCATCACCAACTCCCGGAGTTTACTTAAACTCATGTCCATCGAGTCGGTGATGCCATCCTACCATCTCAACCTCTGACGTCCCCTTCTCCTCCTGCCTTCAATCTTTCCCAGCATCAGGGTCTTTTCCAATGCGTCAGCTCTTCACATCAGGTGGCCGAAGTATTGGAGTTTCAGCTGCAGCATCAGTCCTTTCAATGAATATTTGAGACCGATTTCCTTTAGGATGGACTGGTTGGGTCTCCTTGCAGTCCAAAGGACTCTCGAGTCTTCTCCAGCACCACAGTTCAAAAGCCCTCAAGCCCCCTGAAAAGGGCCTCTAGGAAAGTTCCCATGAAAGCAACTTCAGGTGTGGCTTCTTCCTGCCCATGGCATCACCATGAAAATCACTGAAATTCAGTGTCGTGGAAAGAGAGCAGAAACTCTTCCTGTGCAGCAGATGGGCCTGGTGACACAGAGGAGGGGAGAGCTCCTTGATTTTGGAGATGACTCGAGAAACTGTGCTGCCCCTGTGGCTCCCACTCAGAGGCCTTTCTTCCCAGAGAGTGAAGTTGCCTCTTTTCATTATCTTTTTTATTCTTTTTTGGAGCACCACACACTACATTTTTTCCTGAAAATTTTCCCTGGCCAAGATGAAAAACGAAGAGGTGGATTCAGAATTTGCCACTTATTAGTTGTATCTCATTGGGGAAATTATTCATCTGAGTATCAATTTATTCATCTGTAAACTGGGGATACAAATCAGAACAAAAATGGGTGATGTAAGGAAAAGTGCTTTGTATATATTTCCATACATATGTCAGGAATTATTTTGGGTTCTTCCTCTGAGGGGAAATGGTATGATAAAATTGTGAACGACCGAAGATAAACTCTATTTTGATATTCTATGCCTCTGTGGGTGCTATCGTTGAGAGAGAGAGAGGTGGAGAAAGATTTCTCAGTGTAATTTAAGTAAGCAGGCGTCAGAATTGGAGGGGAGCAGAGTGAAGGGTGAGGATTTTATTATAATTCTGATCTATTGCACCATCTCAAAAAGACATCTATTTGAACTCATGTACAAGCAGCAATTACCTGGAAAATAAATGTAATAAGGATCTCCTTAGTTGGCAGTAAAATTAGCATCACTGAATTTTAATTAATAGTCCAGCTTGGAAGGAATATACTTTTCCTTAGATGAAAAGAATGCCCTTAGCCATGGAGTGGGCCTACCCAAATCAGTACTTTCTACAGATTTTTTTATTTCCCTCTCTGAGTTTCCTGGAGAATTTTTGCACCCCCATTTTGTCACCGAGAGTTCATTCCAAAGAAATGACGTCAATCAACACCCTCCCCTGTGGGCCTCGGTTTCCGCCTTCGTGAAATGGTGGAAGCATTGGGGAAGGATGGGGAAGACTCGGACCCATCACCTCTTGGGTCCCTTTGAACTTGAATGTGCTCTGTGTTTTGATCGGGACATGTGATACTTCTGGGTCTCTCCAAACATTGTGGTAATAACAGGCATTATGCAGATGGTCACCGGGACAGGGGTTTATTGAGAACCAGGGTGTGCCAGGCACAGATTGAGGAGCTCTGAAAGCCTTATAAACGGTGGTTTCCTGGTGTCCTTTGTGGTAGCTATATGTATGTGGTAGCTATGTGTATGTAGTTATGTGTATGTCCATTTGACAGATGAGGGGAAAGACGCTTAGCTGAGCCTTGCCTGAGGCCCTCCACCTGCACACCAAGTGACCATAGGTGGTCATGGGGGTGATAAACATTAAGTGAAGGTTTTCCACTGCAGCTGTCAGGAGTCCAAGTGCTCTGAGAATTAGAGGAACATCCTGTTTCTGGGACTCAGGCTTAGCAGGGCCAAGTCTCTCACAACATCCATGAACACCTAACGCATTATAGGCCCCTTCAGATTCCCTGCCACTTCCGTTTCCATCAAAGTCAGTGCAGTTATTTTCTTATTCTATTAATAGTACTCTGGGCATTTCGAGGTCACCTTTGGTGATTTCTCCTTCTTCATTCTCCGTATCTAGGCATTCATCAAGCTCTGTTCTTTCATAACTTCATTCAGTGATAATGTGTCAGAGGCTGCATGAGAAACTTAATAATAGGAGCTCCTTAATTTATACAGTGCTATAGCATTTTCAAAGGGCATCCACATGCATTATCTTATTTAATCCTCACAAGGGCCCCTGAAAGAAATGATCTGCATGTTACTGATGAAGCGATGGAAACTCAGAGAGGACCCCACATCAGACAGCCAACACGAGGAAGAGCTGTGATGCGCCCAAGCTCCATGGTTCTCCACACTGTCTCCTATATTTGTCTTTTGCTTTTTGTTTCCACACTTTCTACCCAAGAAGGTCCACATCAGCTCAGCTCTGTTTTCTGTAACAGCCTTAAGGTTGATATCCTTGATTTCTGTCGGTTGACTTCAATCTAGATGTAAATCCTAATTCATGATTTTAAACCTCCAGGGGCTTCCTGTTGTTGTTATTCAGTCCCTCAGTCCTATCCGACTCTTTGCAACCCCATGGACTGCAGCATGCCAGGCTTCCCTGTCCTTCTCCATCTCCCAGAGTTTGCTCAAAATCATGTTCATTGAGTCAATGATGCCATCCAACCATCCTCTGTCACCCCCTTCTCCTCCTGCCCTCAGTCTTTCCCAGCATCAGGGTCTTTTCCAATGAGTCAGCTCTTCACATCAGGTGGCCAAAGTATTAGAGCTTTAGCATCTGCTCTCCCAGTGAATATTCAGGGTTGACTTCTTTTAGGCTTCCTGTTACTTGGATCTAAGTTACTCTCCCCCAGACTCTCAAGGTTCCCATAACCTGTCCTTCCTCTACCTTTGCACCTTTGCAGGTACATGTCCCAACTTCCTCTCTTATCACATGGGTCTCCCCATCACCCTCCTTACACATCAGGTCATTTGCTGTGTGAGTTATTTACATAAGTGCTTCCTGGCAGAAGCACTGGTTCATCTTTGCATCCCTAGCACCTGTCAGTATGCCAGGCACATGGTAAGCTCTCAGCTTTGTGAACACAAGGCCACGACCATTTGTATTCTATTCTTATCATGAAAAGTCTCAATTCCTAAGGACTCAATTGCATCACACTGGGATAATCCTAAATTCTGGGCAATATTTATAGTTCATATCTTTGCTATTCAAAGTTTGGACCAACAGGATAAAGATAGCCTTGAAGCGTGTAAAAAACACAGAATCTCAGGGAGCCTCATCCTTAATCAAGGTCTACATTTTAACATGGTCTTAGGAGACTGGCTGGCACATTAGGTCCTGAGACACATTGAACCAAAGGTTCTAGTCCTAATATGACTAGAACCAAAAGTTCTAGTCCTCCTTCAAAAAAGCCTGGTTTGAATTCCAACTCTACCTCTTACTAGCTATATGGCCTCGAGCAAACTTGTAAAATTCTTCGAGCCTGTTTTCTTATATATATTGATTGAGGTTGGTGTAACTCACCAACCAGGAGAGAGGTATTCTGTATGCATTATCACTAGCCAGCACAAACACTTGCATCTTGCATATTTTTAACCCATTTTAGAGTTGAGAAAACTGAGGTTGCTTAGCACTGGACAAGTAACACCATGCATTAGCCGGCAGAGTTGCAATTCAAACTCAATCTACATGGTGATAAATGTCAACTTCACTCCACTCCCCTATCCTGTTCTCTGCATTGTCAGATGAGATTACATATTATTGTGAAGGTTGAATAGGACTCAGGTGTTATTCACTTTGTGCCCTGCAAAGCCACATACAAACATCATTAGTCATTAGTTGTATTACTAACTCGAATTGTTCTGTAAATGCCTCAAATATTTTACTTTGTTTCCTTGCAGTTAGTAGTGTTCTTCCTTATTGCCTGGGTATTTGATGAATTTGAGGTACCGCTTCTTGCTGCAAACAAGAAATATCAAATATACCCTGAATGTACATGTGGATGCTTGCATAGGCTGATGAGTGAAGAGCAAGAGAGGAAATGAAAGGAGGCAGAAAATAGGGAAGAGGATAAATTGGCATTTGATTTATCAGGGGGATGGGAAAGTGTGAAAGAAAATTGATTAGAAGTAGGGCTAGGGAAGTGAAAGAGATGAATCTGGAGTGTTTGGGACTATTCAAAGAGGAAGTTAGGATTCTTGAGAATGTTTTTGGTGGCAAAAGCTTTCAAGGAGCTTGTCATTGGGTTTAGATACGGATTTCTGTAAGCAGAGTGTGGCACTTTTCTGTGAAGTTGGGTTTTCTCATGCCATGCTATTGTCCTTTTTGTGTATTAGTGTGTTATTCACCAATCGATGTTGCTGTGAGTTTAAAATGAGAAGAATAATCCAGTGGTCAAAATAAGACCTTGGTAACATCTAGAAACTAGAGGGAGTTGGTGTTGTTCCTGTAACATAGGAGACCCAGGGTCAATCCCTGGGTTGGGGAGATCCCTTGGAGGAGGGTATGGCAACCCACTCCAGTATTCTTGCCTGGAGAATCCCATGGACAGAGAAGCCTGGTGGTTTAGAGTCCATAGCGTTGCAGAGAGTCAGACACTACTGAGCAAGCAGGCATATATATTGCCTAATCCTTGTGATGTTTTTTGAAGTAGATACTATGATTGTACATTTTACAGATGAGTAAATTAAGGCTTAACAAGATGAAATAACTAACCCAAAGTGGTAGAGCTGTTGGATGACAGAGCCAAGATTGGAAGTTCCTGCCATCTCTCTAACTAAAGCCTGGGCCACCTTGGCCTTTCAGTTTCAGCGTCCTGAGGGAAGCTGGCCAGTGAGTCCAGGGATTTGACCTGTAATAACGTGAGAAGGAAGTTAGGATTCTTGAGAATGTTTTTGGTGGCAAAAGCTTTCAAGGAGCTTGTCATTGGGTTTAGATACGGATTTCTGTAAGCAGAGTGTGGTACTTTTCTGTGAAGCTGGGTTTTCTCATGCCATGCTATTGTCCTTTTTGTGTATTAGTGTGTTATTCACCAATCGATGTTGCTGTGAGTTTAAAATGAGAAGAATAATCCAGTGGTCAAAATAAGACCTTGGTAACATCTGGAAACTAGAGGGAGTTGGCGTTGTTCCTGTAACATAGGAGACCCAGGGTCAATCCCTGGGTTGGGGAGATACCTTGGAGGAGGGTATGGCAACCCACTCCAGTATTCTTGCCTGGAGAATCCCATGGACAGAGAAGCCTGGTGGTTTAGAGTCCATAGCGTTGCAGAGAGTCAGACACTACTGAGCAAGCAGGCATATATATTGCCTAATCCTTGTGATGTTTTTTGAAGTAGATACTATGATTGTACATTTTACAGATGAGTAAATTAAGGCTTAACAAGATGAAATAACTAACCCAAAGTGGTAGAGCTGTTGGATGACAGAGCCAAGATTGGAAGTTCCTGCCATCTCTCTAACTAAAGCCTGGGCCACCTTGGCCTTTCAGTTTCAGCGTCCTGAGGGAAGCTGGCCAGTGAGTCCAGGGATTTGACCTGTAATAACGTGAGAGAGAAGCAGAGATGCTGGATGAGTCCATCAAGTCACAGATCAGCATCTTCGGAGGCAATGGCCCTTTGGATAGGGGGCCAGTGAATTTAGATTTCAGATAAATGATCTAGAATATATACAAAATCTGGAATATACTTATATAAACGTTATTTCTAATACTTTTTAATTTGCTAAATCTGGCAACCCTATCATAGAAAGGCGTCAGTCTCCAAACTGTTCAGCATCTACCAGAACCTAGACTATAATTTGGTTGCAGGGCTTGGCTTGGATGAGAAGTGTTTCTGGAAGAGGGAAAGATGAAGGTCAGGTCACTGCAGTGGGAAGGGCTAGACTGGACTTCAGGACAGCTGCTTCCAGCCCCAGGACGCCCTACCTAGACAGGCTGCTCCCTTGCCCGCGGGCTCTGCAGTCCCTGCACCTCTTTCCATAGTTCCTGGCAGCAGCATTCCTTTTGTACTGGACTTTGGGGCAGAAGGTGCTGGAGACACTGCAGTGTAAGTGGTTGCTGTTTCCAGGAACCAAATGTTCGGGCCGAGAAGCTGCCTTGAAGCCGGGGATCTCCCAGGACTGCTCCTAGGAGCCAGGGGTGTGGAGCGAATTAACATGTAAAGACAGAGAACCAATTCATCCAGAGCCAATTTCAGCTCAGACTAGGGGGAAAATTGCTGTTCAAATTGGTATTTCCATTGCCAGGTTTATTGACAAAATGAAATAAAAAGGCCTCTTTGTTTTATGAATTTGTTGTAGATTACCAAAAAAAAAAAAAAAAGGAGAGAGGGGGCATTTAAACTTTCCAGTGGGTGGCAGGCTGGGTTTTGACTGGTCTTTCCTAACAGCAAAAATGCTCATGCAAACAGGATGCAAACCTGTTTTACATACATCATACATCAGGATGCAAACCACTCCATGGGGAGCACACCACTCGGGTCTCAGATGGAGTCTTTCCTGTTGCATACATCGCTCAGTTCTGCCCTCCTTCTTGGAGGCTGGAAGCAGCTTGTCCTTACGTCAAGGTTGGGGAAAGCAGGGGGTCAGGGAAGCGACTTTCTGAAGGTCACAGGTGGACACAGGGGGTGGATGCCGCTGGGCAGAGCAGACGTGATTCCTACAGCTGGCCCCAACCCCCCCTCCCCTACCATCCAGACCCCCACCAGACCTGAGCAGGAAGCCTAGATTGACTGATGCTCTGGAAACATCTGGCTTGTCCCCAGAGGTCTCTCAAGTTTCAGCCACCTTAAGGCCTGGAAGGCTGCTCCTCTCCCCGAAGTTCCACCGTCTCCAGCCCTCTCTCACTGGTGTTCTGCTATCCTTCCTGGCTTCTCTCAATCTGGAATGTGTGGGGATCATAACTCGTGGGGTCGTACAAGACGCCAGCAGCCTTTCTGTAATTGCCACTGACGTGGAAACACAGGAGCAAATGAGTAGCAATTCTTACGCCTCTGCGTGACAGAACAGAAGCCTCTACTGAGGAATTAAAGCCATAAATATCCGACAGGGCCCCTACCTGCGTGCCAGCTCCCGACATCTGGAATGGCAGCTCGCTGGAGCCGCTCCGCTATCACCACCCCGCTGCCCGCCGGCTGCGGCTCAGCTGTCAGAGCAGAAGGGACGGGACGGGAGGTGTGGAAGGAGGGGTGACCGATCAGAACCTGGCGACAGAAAGGCCCCCTTTCCTATTGTAACCGCGGTGACAGGGCAGCCCCACCCACCCCCGCATGGAGGTGCTCAGAATTCTGCTGCGACAAAGGCCCTGTCCTTGCAAGAGGCATTAGCCACTTTGCGGCTGTTCTCTCATGTGGTTGAGAGGCAGGTGTCAGCTCGGAGTTTGTGCTCCTGGAGGGAAAATCACCTGGGGCTGAGCAGAGGGAGAAGTCGCAGAGGTGGGTCATCCACCTGACCTCGCCTGGGTCCCCGAGAAGAACAGCGTGTCACTGCCAGGGGTAACTGAGCCATGCAGAGGGCCAAGGAGAAATCTAGTCAGTGATCCTTAGAAGTGGGGGGCGTGCAAGGGGGTTCATCTTGGGGCAGAGGTGTCCGCTTTCTGGAGGTGGGAGGGATGTTGACGAGGGTGGGAGGTGGGGCAGATGGCAACCCTTGCTTGAAGCAGCTGGTAAAATGCAATTGGCCTATGAGGGCAGGGGTGGGNTGCAAGGGGGTTCATCTTGGGGCAGAGGTGTCCGCTTTCTGGAGGTGGGAGGGATGTTGACGAGGGTCGGAGGTGGGGCAGATGGCAACCCTTGCTTGAAGCAGCTGGTAAAATGCAATTGGCCTATGAGGGCAGGGGTGGGAATTCCTGGGCCTGGAGCTTTTTGCTGGGACCCATAGCCTTCACCAGTGAATCCTAAAGGAAATCAACCCTGATCATTCATTGGAAGGACTGATGGCTGAAGCTGAAGCTCCAATGCTTGTGGCCACCTGATGCCAAAGGCCGACTCACTGGAAAAGATCCTGATGCTGGGAAAGATTGAGGGCAAGAGGCGCAGGGGGCAACAGAGGATGTCATGGTTGGATGGCATCATTGACTCAATGGACATGAGTTTGAGCAAACTCCAGGAGATGGTGAAGGACAGGGAAGCCTGGCGTGCTGCAGTTCATGGGGTCGCAAAGAGTCAGACACGACTTAGTGACTGAACAACAACAAAACAGTCTTTGCTGAATGAAATGGATCCTTAGCTACTCACAGCCATTTGCATGGGCTTTGCTGGACCTTGAGCTGAAGGTTGGCTGAAGACCCCTCCTGTTTCCTTACCTTCCTCTCCTTTGCCCCACACTCAGCCTGCGTGCTCTGTGGTGGCCCCTGCATGCAGCCCAGCTCTAAGGAGCCAGACTCAGGACAGCCCGGTGGTCCTCGGGAACTCTTTCTTAGGTCTTTTGTGCCTTTCTTTTCTTGTTTGCAAAATGGGAAGAAAAACGGTACATCATCTTTGAGAACTCAAAGGATGAGTCAAAGTCTGAGGTTTGAGACCCAAAGTCTTCATCTTCTAGTTTACCCAGATGAGATGCTAGTGAGAGGAATTCGATGGTGCGGATCCAGAATCAGAGGAAATGATTTCACCTGGGTGCCCCTGGTATCTTTTGAATTTTGAACTATTTGAATGTATTGATTAGCTATTCAGAGCAAAAATAAGTAAAATGGAAACTTAAAATAGAGACTGTATCTAGTGAAATATCAAAGTCATTTCTGTTAATTTCTAAGAAGTAACTTTTATATTTGTAAAGCATGCTATGGCAAATGTACTTCAAAGATAAAATGTTGATTTTAGTTAAAGCTTAGAGAAAATCACCTTTTTCGTGTCTGTTACTGGGCTGTCTCGTCAAGCATAAGCTCCCAGAAGCAGTCGTGGTGCCCCTGTGAATTCTGTGTATGTGGGTAGGGAGCCAGCCTGTTGAGGGCTCAGGCCCTGGGCAGCTGAGGTCTTGGGTTTCTTGCCTCCCTGGCCCTTTAGCTCCCCTTAGTTCTTGAGGCGCAGATGGGAACCCTCACTGTGATTAGCTGACCAAGGATGTGACCGTTGACCTCTCAGTGACAACCCTAGAAAGTCTGGAGATCAAGTTCCTTACCGAGTAGAAAAACAGCTGAGGAGTCAGAGTTGTGGGGGATGAATGTCAGAGCGGTGGTGTCAAAGGTGAGAGGACCAGGGGAATACTCGAGACTTGGCACACAGACATCACCCATGGCAACAGGGGCCCCGAGGGGATACCCAGAGACTCCTTCCCTCCGCATACACTCCCCCACACCATTGTATTCCTGTCCTGGATCTTAGAATTGACAGCCAGGAATGGGGCAAGTGCCTAAGTTGGGTTGGGGATGGGGCTGTGGCTAAAATGTCCAAAAAGCTTCACTGGATTCAAACTAAATACCTGACCATACATGTGGAGTCTTCAGACCTGGTGTCAATTCCTCCTTTGCATTCTGCTTGGGATCAGTACGCCTGATGTTTTATGCATGAAAAAGTTTTGCAAGAGTGGCATGCCGTGTGTGCGTGTCTGTGTGTCTGTTTGTGTCTATGTAGGTGTGTTTGTGTGTGTCTGTGTGTATGTGTGTCTATGTGTGTGTCTGAGTGTGTCTAAGTGTGTCTGTGTGTGTGTGTGTGACTGTGTATCTGTGTCTATGTGTGTATGTCTGTGTGCCTATGTGTGTCTGCGTGTATGTGTCTGTATGTGTGTAAGTGTTTCTGTGTGTGTGTGTGTGTTTGGGGGCATGTGATGGGGGAGATGCAGGATGAACATCCTTACTTCCTGTCTTAGTACTGAAGGTTTTCTAGATCCCATCAGCGCTGAGAGCAGAGGGCCTGGGAGTGGGTTCTAGTCCTTGTCTAACCATGTCTGCCTCTCCTACAATTTCCAGTAGAAGATTCTGGGCCCCTAGAGTGTCAGCCAGGTTGGAGTAATAGTTTTAATAACACTTGTGAAACGATTGCTATTTCTAGCCCTGCTCCCATGTTAATTGTTCCAGTCACTAGACTGAACAAGCCCACAAAACAAGCTTATCTCCGTTTTGCAGATAAAGGGACTTGGCTGTTCTCAAGTGTGGGTCAGTGGAGGGATGAAGATTCACAGAGCGCTCCTGGTCCCTAAATGTAGCTGGTCCTCATATACAAACACGATGTCCTGGGATGCTTGGTGTTTGTGCTTGGAGGTCTGATTACAAACCAGGAGGGCATGCTGTTGGCAGAGAGTTTGCTCAAAAATGAAATGATATTCTTTGAAGAAAGTTTTCATTAGAGCCGAGGTTTAAGCCAAAGTCCAGGCCAGTTCTCATTTCACCTGAACTTAGTCTCAGCGGCTACCTGTTAGTGTTCACTGGTGCTCACCTAGCAGGAAGTTATTGGTAAATATCATGTGTTTACCCGTAATTACACAGCCAGGCAGATTACTCACTAATTACGCTCAGCAGGTGCAAAAGTCATTAGCACAACACATCCCGGGTACTTGGGGCAAAGGAGACATGCCATTCTGTATTAATTTGGTAATTGCATATTATTTACCATATCGAGGATTATTTTGCTGCAGAACAATAGGAAGAGCTGTGTGGTTCACCTGCTGAAGCCATTTGGCAGAGCAAGTCAAGGGCAGTGTGGCAGCTCCCTGCCATCCTCCTCGAGTGAACTCAGGGGCGACCAGCCCGGGAGGGACACTTGGACATCTCGGTCCAGTCCCGTGGCTGAACAGCCAACTTGCTGTTGCCCGTGTGTGTCTATCCCAAATAAATGAAAATCCTAGCCCAGCCTCCCCAAAGCCCAGCGTGTTCCTGAGCTGCTGTGTGCTCAGGGAATTAAAACGAATTTTAATATTAGCCCTAAGCAAAGCATAATTAGAAAGATAAATCTTCAGCAACTCTTTCCTACCCAGACCTCGCCACTGCCGCCTCCCACCCACATCCCACCCCCCTGCCACCGTGCATTATGAAGCCAAATACAAATAGCTCTGAAGTGATCTGTAAGAACACAGAACACATTTGTCCAGCTAATTGAACGCTGGTTCTGATGTCAGGCAGACACCAGAGGTGTAACACCTATGAGGGTGGGACAGCCCTGCCTCCCACCCTGGAGTGGGGAGGGGACCTCTGGGCATGGACCTAACCCTGCTCATGCCTTTGGTGCAGACACTGCACATCACTTGTTCCTGGGGCAGCCACTCGCTTATCATGGCCTCAAGAACCTATAAAGCCAATGGAGAGACATTTCTTCTAAGAAATGATGTTACCTTGGACTTCCAATGCCTGTCTTCATCTCCAGAAATGACTGTTCATCTTTCATAGCTTTTTATCACTACGGAAGGACTCTCCTTGTTTCTCCTTGAGAAGCACAGGCAGGTAAGCAGACAAGCGCCTGGTGACTTAAGAAGAGAGGGGCTATGATGGCCACAGGATCGGCCTTCCCCCCAGAGGCAGGAGACGTGGTCTGGCATGGTGGTTAGTCAATGGGCTGCCCTCCACCCCTGAGGTCGGGCAGAGATGAGTCTGAGTGGACAGGAGGACTGCTGGACCCTCAATTATGGAGAGAAAAGAAGGTACAGGATTTAGGAGAACTTGGCTTGTGGATGGGCTACCTTTGAACTTTCTGCTTTGCTTCTGTTGAAAACAGGCTTAGCTGGTGAGAGCAGGCTGTCTTGGTTCAGAAGACAAAACTCTGCTTCTCGTTATTTATATTTCTTTGAGGAGTCACTAAACGACCAGCACAATTTGCCATCAGTGAAGTCTCAGGGAAGGTGTCCTGTTCTGGAAAGTGTTAAGTACCTTGCTGACAGCATCAGTGTGAGTCTGCAAAGCAGATACTAAAGGGGGGAGTGAAGAAGGCAGTGTAAGAACAGAGCCAGGAAGCCAGGACCCTGGGGTCAGTTTCTGCTCCCTGGAGGAGCGTGAAAGACCAAAGTCACCCCAGGCTCTGGCCCGTTTCCCCAGGCCCAGCTATTGTGGTTTCCTGTGGACACCTCACAAGCTACTAATAGCCAAGCAGAATTCTGAGCCTTCTGTTCTTCACATATTTCCCACACCTTTTTTACCCTGCAACTGTCATCTTTGGCTTTCTTTGTAAATTTCTGCTCTTTATATTTATTACAAGGTGTTAAATATGGGGGTGAGTTGGGGGAGCAGGATGGTGGATCAATTGGAGAACTGTGAAGCCAGCTTGCTCCCTGCTGCCGGCATCCACC